GTCAAGTGTTCTGGTCCTGACCAGGGCTCTATTAATTTGTATTCTACTAAGAGAAGTTATTCCCCTTTGCCATTCACTTCTCATAATTAATCACTGTAAATAATGTATTTGAAAGTCAATAGACTAAGAGAATTATGCAAAAAATGATATTGTATAATACAAAAAGTACTTTCATAGTTTTAATGATCAGGTAGACTTGTAAATAATAAATAAATCAAAATGAGACAAAAATAACTTATCTCATTAAATGTTCTTCAAAGACCAAGAGAGGCCAATGTGAGAGGTCACAATATGGGATTAAAAGTGGTACAAGAACTAATACATTGTAATTTGTTACTTGTCTGCTTTGCGATAGTGATAAATGGGGGATATAGATTAGAATTTAATTTATGAGTTGTTACTGAATACTAGATAATTATTTCATTGATCCTGATCATCCTGTTTCTCTTGCTTTTGGGCAACAAAGCTTCATCTATCAGTTTATTTTATACTTTATGGATCCTTTAATTTGTTGTATTATACCAGGGTTCGACATTCGTCAAAATTTGGTCTCGCCATTTGGGCAACCTTGGTACTGATTTCAGGTTGCCCGAATGAATTTCAGGTCGCCCGAACAAAATATCAAATGAAACAAAAATGTGCAATTGTTAAAAATTTGTTAAGATAACAGAAGTTGTGCTTTTGTATTATAAAATGTAAACCAGACATTTATGGAATGCCAAAAGCTGTAATGTATAATCTCACCTCACATATTGACACAAAATAAAGTTTCTAGTTTAAAACATTCATTTTCACTTACCATAAAGGCCTAAAAAAAAAAAGGGGGGGGGGTCAAACATCCCTGGACTGAATTAACCAGATGTGATGTTTACAGTGGACACCCAACATGGCTGTACGAACATCAGAAAGTTGTGGGGGGGAATACTATATGTTACAAAAATGATCATTACTCTTTATATTTATGGTGATTGTTGACTAGGTTGACATATTTTATATCTCAAATAAAACTTAATTTAATACTTTTGGTAAAAATTATATCAGCTGATTGATCAAACACAGATTTGGCAGAAAAAAAATCCATGAGGCGGGTTACAGGAAACAGTGTTTTCAAGGCCTTGTAAAGTTTATTTTAAAATATTAAACATCATAGTTGAATATTCCCAACTCGTCCCAGGTCATCATTTGGGCGAGCCAGACTGAAAATCAGGTCGTCAAAAATCATCACAGGATGGAAATGACAAGGTGACGAGCATGAATGTCGAACCCTGTTATACTCAGGTGACTGTTAAGGCCCTTGGGCCTCTTGTTATATAGAAGCATCTGTAGGTCGTGTAGATTCATTTTTGTTTAAATGTTGACAATTGAGGGTAAGGTAGGGCAACAATTTTACATAGGAATATATTTAAGGAAAATATCTTCTGATAAAGAACAGAAGAGCCATAGTAACTCAGGTGAGCATTGTGGCTCATGGGCCTGTTGTTAAAGTATGTTGCATTAATTGGACATTCCGCAGTTGAAGCTATATACGAGGGTTGATCCAAAAATTTGTGGAATTTCTTTATATTTTATTTTTTTTAATGAAGGTGATTGAAAATTACAGGTGAAAATATATACACTTGTTAAATTTTCTTAATAAAAAATATTTTAAAAATTCATGATTTTTACACTTTGGCAGTTGCCATAGAAGTGAACGTTTGAAAATGTGGGGGAGACATTTCTTTGTTCATTATATCATTTCTAATTTTAGGTCACCTGAGTCATTCAGGTGACCTATTGCTAACCGTTTTTGTCTGTCATTGTGCGTTGTGTGTTAACATTTGAACATTTTTAGCTTCTTCTCTGAAACAGCTTAACCAATTTCAATCAAATTTGGCATATAGCATCTATGGGTAAAGGGGAACTAAAATTTTGAATTTTATGGTCCCAGGTGGCACCCTGGGGCTTGAGGGGTGTGGCTAAAACCACCAAAATTAATGCAATCTTTAAAAATCTTCTTCTTTACTCCTGGACATCAAGCAGTCAAACTGTTGGCATGATTGTAATAAGTAATGAGCTCTCTACCAAAATTGTGAAATTCATGGCCCCAGGGCCGGGGGTTCTGGTGCTAGGGTGGGACTATATAGATCATATAGTGAAAGTGCATTATTTCTTTGAAAATCTTCTTCTCTGCTCCTGGGTATTAAAAAACTAACTAAGTACATGTACATAGTTATGAAGAGCAAGAGTGTCTCTTTCAAAATTGTGAATTTCATGGCCCCAGGGTCAGGGGTTCTGGTGTTAGGATGGGGCTCTATTGATTATATAGTGAAAATGCATTAATTCTTTGAAAATCTTCTTCTCTGCTCCTGGGTATTAAATAAACTTAGTAAGTACATAGTTATGATGAGCAAGAGTGCCTTTTCCAAAATTATAAATTTCATGGCCCCAGGATCAGGGGTTCTGATGTAAGAGCGGGGCGCTATTGATTATATAGGGAAAACACATTAATTCTTTGAAAATCTTCTCTGTTCCTGGGTATTAAACAAACTAACTAAGTATAAAGTTATGATGAAAAGAGTGCCTCATCCAAAATTGTGAATTCCATGGCCCCTGGGTCAGAGGTTCTGGTGTTAGGATGAGACTCTATTGATTATATAGTGAAAATACATTAATTCATTGAAAATCTTCTCTGCTCCTGGGTAGTAATTAAATAAACTAAGAAAATATTTATGAGCATGGCTGCCTTTTCAGAAATTGTGAATTTCATGGCCCCTGGGTCAGGCTTTTAGGTGTTAGCTAGCTAGGGTAGGGCTCTATTGATTATATAGTGAAAATGCATTAATTCTTTGAAAATCATCTCTGCTCCTGGGTGTTAAATAAACTAACTTAGTGCATGGTTATAATTAGCTTGGTTGCCTCTACCAGAATTGTGAATTTCATGGCCCCTGGGTCAGGGGTTCTGGTGTTAGGGCGGGGCTGTATTGATAGATATAGTGAAAATGCATTAATTCTTTGAAAATATTCTTCTCTTCTCCTGGATATTAAATAAACTAAGTATACAGGTATGAAGAGCAAGGCTGCCTCTTCAGAAATTATGAATTTCATGGCCCAGGGGTTCTGGTGTTAGGGCGGGGTTCTATTGTTTATATAGGGAACTGCATGCATTAATTCTTTCAAAATCTTCTTCTCTGCTCCTGGGTATTATTCACACAAAGGAAGTGCATGGCTATGGTAAGGAAGAATGCCTCTTCCAAAATTGTGAAATTCATGGCCCCTTGGTCAGGGGCTCTGGTGAAAGGTAGGGGCTCTATTGACTGTGCAGTGAAAATGCACAATTTCTTTTAAAATATTTTTTCTACTACTGGTTATAAAGCAAAGAAACAAGTGTATAGTTATAATGAGCAAGGGTGCTTCTTCCAGAATTGTGAGTTCATGGCCCCTGGGTCAGATGCTCTGGTGTAAGGGTGGGGCTTTATTTATTTAATAATATGTATAGTGAAAATGCATTTCTTTGAAAATCTTTTATGCTTCTTGGCATTTTTTAGGCAAACAGAGTAAAAGTTTTAATATGCAAGGGTATTTTTACCAGAATTTTGAACACCTGGACCACTTAGTCAAGTGTTCTGGTCCTGGCCAGGGCTCTTGCTGAGCAAATTTATTCCCCTTTGCCATTCACCTTTGATAATTAATTACTGTTAATAATGTATTTGAAAGGTTAATAGAAAAAGAGAATTATGCAAGAATATTTATTGTAAAATACAAAAAGTACTTTCATAGTTTTAATGATCAGGTAGACTTGGAAATACTAGATGAATACAAATGAGACAAAAATAACATATCTTTTTAAATGTTCTTTAAAAGCCAAGAGAGGCCAATGTGAGAAGTAATAATATGGAGATAAAAAATAGACATTTTGTTAATAGTCTGCATGGTAATTGTGATAAATTGGGGACAGATAGATACTAGACCAATTATTTTGTTGATCCTAATCATACTATTTTTCTTGCTTTTTGGGCAACAAAGCTTCATTTATCAGTTTATGGATCCTCTAAATTTTTTGTATTGTACTCAGGTGACCATTGGGCCTCTTGTTGAAATTCACTGTGAAAAAAAATGCGCTAAGTGTGATATAAAACGAAAGTGATGTCATAATTACAATTGCTTGAACTTTTATAAATCTTTGTGTGAAAGTTTTATCAATTTTACTGGATATTTAGTTTTTCCATTGATGATTTGTTGATCATCATGACATCGTTAGATGATGTTGAAAGTCGGTCAGTTAATCAGTTTTGTGAACACTCCGACTTTGACACATATACTAGTGATACAGGCAGACCAAAAGTACAGTAAGCAACTGGTTTTCAATTGGTGTAAAAAAATTTAGGGAAAATAGAGCTTCCAATGATAATGAAAGGTCTAGCCGCGTATTGAAAGGTCTTTCTTTCCTCGTAGACAAATTGAGAGCCTTAATGGACGTGGACCGCCGACGTACTGTGCTTGACATTGCCACTGTAATTGGAACATCATATGGAATGACAAAGTGTTTTTTGAAAAATGATCGTAATATGATGAAAGTGGGTGCTAGATGGGTACCCAGACTTTCCTTGAAGGCAGATATGGAGAAAAAAATGCAGTGATCTTTAATATTTCTAAGAAGATTTGAACGTTAGGGTGCGATGTTCCTAGAATGTGACGTGACATACCTAAGTTGAAGTTACATCATAGTTTTCCCCAGATCTTAGAACTCTCCATGTTAAGAAAGCTTGTATGACCTTAATGGTAATTGGAATGTGGTGAAATTTTTTCAGTATTGTTGCATTATGGCTCTACTTTATAGATATGTCTTTTGTTTGCTTTAATCACATCACAATAAAATTTTAGAATGAAATTTCAAGAACTTCTGGATCAACCCTCGTATATTTTGGATGCAGAATGCATGAAATGACCAGTTAGACTGAGGATACATAAAATTGATTAACAAAGACTTTTAATTATATATATTTTTATATATATATGTACAGAATCCTAATGAAAATGAAGAATTGGATATAGATCCATGGGATAATTCCAGTCCTGGCTTGATTGGAAGCAAACCAATGAATTTGGCTCCTGGAGAATATCCAAGCCCTCGCAAAAAATGTATGTACACTTTTTTTTCTTAAGGACAGATGATACAAACAAACTTTTATCAAAAATTTTCAAAATAACAACTTAAGTCATGTTTATATAAGTAAAGTAAATAAGTGTAACTGCATATATAGATTTTCATTTTTCATTCAAAGTTTCACAATAATTGGATTTAAAGTGACAAAGAGTTGATAGATTAATTAATAAGGATTGTTACAGAAAGGTGGGATTTTGAACATCATGGAAAGTTTACAATTTCCTTATATTTTAGAAATTTATTATTCTAATCGCTTACAACCAAAATAGGTCAAAACATATATACCAATCCAGACATCCATTTTTTTGTTTGTATCACCTGTCCTTAACAGTTAGTTACTTAACACAATCCAAGAGTCATGTTTTAGATTAAGAAAGGTCATTTTCATATGTGCGAAACAAAACACAATTTATTATGTAAAAAATTTGTTTAATCAATTCTTGCACTTCGCAATATTAATATTTTAGTGTTTCTTTCTAAGCCAACTATGAAATTGATTTGAATGCCATTTTTAGTCCCCTACCGATGAAACCGGAGGGGACTATAGGTTTCCTCTGAGTCTGTCCGTCCGTCTGTCCCTCTGTCTGTCTGTCAGTCTGTCCCACTTGATTTTCCGCACTTTTTTCTTTATGCTTTTGAGAATTGATTTGAAACTTGCTATGTACCTTTATAGTGATAAACTACAGATCAAGTTTGAATTTTATCATGTTTAACCAAAAGGTTCCAGAGTAAACTAGATGCTGTCATGAGACAGTAATACCCGCACTAAGGTGTTTGCCTCTAAATGTACACTCCTTCATATTGGGCTTACCAAAGAAAAGTCAAAATAATTCTACAATTTACACAGTACATGTTTCGTAAAATTGAGCATAAAATGCTCAGGTGACCATGTGACCTATGAGCCTCTTATAGCTATTTCCTTTACTTAATTCATTACCAGCCTGAAATAACAGATTTTAATTAATGATGTAAAATAGGTTTTGATAAAAGGGGGGATATAAATTTTTGGCCCATAATTGAACATTTTAAATTTATTTTCTCAACAACAAATAATACTACTTTAATACAAAGCAGTTTTAATGAATTTATCAAAATGTGCAAACTTTTTTTTAGTATTTGATTAGGCAAAAACCTTCTTGAAAAGCCAAACCCAATCAATTTTGTCACCCCCCCCCCCCCAACACACACACACAATTTGCCTGTTTTTGGAAATAGGCCTAGATGGCAAAGTTATGTTAAAACATCGTTTGTTATGATAATTCAAAATTTGTTCTTGTACTGTACATGTATGTGAACACCTTTTTGAAAATTTCTACATCACATTGGGCTTGCGTCACCCAACTAGTACTAGTTTTACCATTATTATTTTTAGATGGTGCAATCATTACATGTATATCAGTAGGAATTAATTCATTTTATGTTTTAATTGGATTATATTTCATGAAGTTGATAGGACCTATAATAGTCGGTAAGTACAAGTTTAAGTATAGATTGGGGTAAAATAAACCGAAATGCAAATGGTTAGGTTAAAGTTTAGAAAGGATCAAAGATCATCGGATGCCACAAGAGACGAATTTCACATTCTGAAGAGTTATCTCCCGTTGTCGACATTACATTCAGTTACATGCACAGATTCAGGAATTTTTTTTCGGGGGAGGGGGGGGGTCCATACCTCAATCAAAAAAATTTCCAGCCCCCAATTTCCTGAGAAGCAAAAAAAACCAAACAAACAAAAAAAAATAGATGCTGTCATAAGACAGTAATACCCGCACTAATGTGTTTGCCTCTAAATGCAGGCACGTATCATTGGGGGGGGGGGGGAACAGAGGGGGCCTGCCCCCCTTTTTTTTCGAAACATAACTTTTTACTATTGAAAATTTTCTTGAAAGGGTTGTTTCCCCCCACCCCCTCCCCCACTTTTTGTTGCATTATAGTCAAATAAAGGTAATGTAGTAGTGTACATATAAAATTGGGGTACTGAAAGAAGTTGGAACCCACCCCCACCCCACCCCACGAAATAGGATATTTGAGTATTTTGAGTTTTGGGGGTTTGGCTGCTCACTTTTTAAGCTTCATATGTATAACTTCGTACCAACTTAACAGGGGTCCGTGTTTTCGGGGGGGGGGGGGGGGGGTCCAAGGTCACTTTTAATTGTTTTCGTATATAGGTTCCGGACCCCCCCCCCCCCCCCCCCGATTCGCGCATGCAAATATTTCATTACCAGTCTGATATTACCTAATAATGTAAATTCTGATAAAGAGAGAATTTTTGAAAGATTTGTGTAAAAAAGGGGGGTGGTTAATTTTCTACCTATAATTGGAACTTCTTGAATTTATTGTCAAAACAACAAATATTGTTAATTTAGTGCATAGCTTTTTTGATGAACTTAAAAAAATAGATGCCAAAATTACAACTTGTGCAAATTTTTATCAGTATTTGGGTAGGACTTGGAGAACCCCTTTCCAAATCTTGACCCAATCAACTTTGTCAAAAATCAACCCCCACCCACGATTCACCCGTTTTCCTGTCATATTTCGAATAGATTTAACATAAACTTATGAAAAAAAAAATTGTATGTAATTATATTATAAATTTTACAAATGTACACCTTTTTGGAAAATTTCTAAACTCGTGCGTGGAATTATGTCACACTGCGAGAACTACCTTTACCGTTATCATTATTGTCTTGCACATGGTGTAAGTACATCATTACCACAGGGATTATTAATATTTAGTGTGTGTTTTAAATTGATTTATTATTCTATCAACTTAACAGTACCTATAACAGGCGGTAAGTACATTATGAATATATTATTTTAAACGTTTAGTATAGAACGGGGTTTGTTTGTTGTTTAACATCCTTCTCGAGAATTTTTCGCTCATATGGAGACGCCATCACCTATGGTCGACACTTAGGGCCATTGAACATCGAGAGATCTTTTTTGTGCCAACAACTAGGGACCTCAGTTTATACAGTCTCATCCGAAGAACTGGTCTCCACGTCCCGCGGTGGATTCGAACCCGCAACTTAAGGATCAACTCCTTACTCCACCACTCTAGAGCAGACGTTCTAACCACTGCGCCACACGGGCGACTAGAACGGGGTAAAATAATCGGAAATGAAAATGGTTAGGGGCCTATAGGTGGAAAAGGGTCAAAGATCATTGGAATGTCACAATTATACAAATTATACAAGGCAAGTCCCTGGGGTCATTCCACTCAATCTTTGGAACCAGAAACAATAAATTAGCTGTCATTAGAGCAAAACCCCTTAAGTCATCTTTGTATTATAACACACTAAATAGGATATATGGGATCATGACCCCCCAGAGGTCATTCCCAACCCCTAAAACTTCAAATGATCATATACATTGTATCTTGAAAATGGTCGAAAACTCTCCCCTTAACCATATATAATATTGTCCCTCGAGTCATTATTCATTAAATGGTATAAAGGTTTTGACCCCTTGAAGTCATCCTCATCCTGAAACTGGAAATGATCACAATATGACCTGCGTCAAAAGTGTGTTAGTGAAAATCTGCTTGACATTTTATTCAGGACCCCCTAGGGTCAGTCAATCCTCCTAGAATTAGAAAATGAAAATCATTCAAAGACCCATCATTATACTTTGTGTACATGTACATTTTTGTATTATTCACAATTTATTTTATACCAAAACAAGTTAAAAATAATTTGTATAAATAAACAAGCCTGGGGCCCAGGGAAGGGGGAAAAGGGGAAGGAGTTATGTCTGCATGGTCTAAAATGTTGAAAACTCCTAAAATTTGTGAAGATTAACCCGTCTGTTTCCCACTTGTCATCATTATTCACTGATCTTCCCACAACATACATGTGACTTTATTAAATCAATAGATCATGGACGTTTTTGGTCATATGCCTAGCTCTCCCTTCAATCAGGACTGGTGATATAAATATTTTAAGAATGATTAAGAATAAAAACAGGTCTTGCACAATCTCCTAAAATTGATTAAGCTCTGTAGTTGAATTAGCTATACTGGTATAGCTTGGTTTTGCTATTCAAAACACTTTGATTTAGCTATTTAATCATACTTTTTTTTAATGTACATTTTTATCAATATAGATAAAAGTTGCACTATGTTGACATAGGTATAAATTTTAAACTTTCACCTTTGAGTTTTCTGAAAGCAATGCATGAAGGAAAATTGCTTTTCAAAAATTGTCTCCTGAGAATTTGCTATCATAGATATATATATTTTGCATGGGGCTATATACCTGGAGTAATCTCTCTCCCTCTAACATCTACTTGAGTCAAAATTAAAGTGGAATTATAAGACATTTTTTTTAATTGATGACTTTTTAGGATTTTACACTAATTCATACTGCAGCAAGAATGTTATCCCTCCCAGAAAAAAATAAGTTTACTCACTGTCTTGTTTTTGATCTATATCTATAATTACAAAAGAACACAGCCAGAATCCTTTTAATGTGGTTTGTTACAAATTTCACTTGGAACTCCTATTAATTTGCTCAAGATCAGTATTTTCAGTAGGCAGAAATGAACTTGATCAATTATGCTTGAAAAGTACTCACTGTGAACAATCAGCTGACTTGTTGAAGACAGGTAAACATACCCCTCAGGGTAGAATTATCATACAAAGGCCTGTACAAAATTGAAATCATAATTACATCATCATTATCTTAGTTAAAATAAGAAGAAACACACTAGAGGTGTGATGAAATATTTAGAAACACAAAGAGTTTTATTTCTCATGCAAAATATTCTATCTTGTGTAAAACAATTGTTCAAATGAAGGGCCAAACCTTCTTTTAAGGGGAGATAAGAATGAGTGAAAATTTAATGTTATTTCAAATATCTTCTTCTGAAGAACCACTGGGCCAGAAAAGTTTAAAATTATGTGAAACTTCATTACTTAGTGTAGATTCAACTTTGTCCAAATCATGACCTTCAGGGGTAGGGTGTGGCCACAATA